TATGTGTTCCTAACTGTGAAAGTAAATTCTTTAATGCTGTCTTAGAGAAAGTGATTCTCAGGGTTTGATTTGTGTATCTATACTAACTTATACAAACCTGTATGTTGTTGTAGTTTCTAATTTTTGTCTATATTCTGTGTAAAGTTCAGAACACAACAGTGACTTTTCTAAGATATTAGGACTTAATCTACTTATAAATAGACTGTTCTGGGTATTCACTTCTGGAAAGATTCAAACATACGTAAATATCCTACCAATATTGAACTTGGAATAAGAATCTAAAGTTGCATTACAGTTCATTAATATTCATTTAAATCTTATTAATGGATAAGCCTGTTTCCTAGTATTTTTATTTACTTGGTTTTAGGTACTTGGGATCAATGACAGCAAAATACTGCCTTTGCTTTTGAAAGAATCGTTCATACCCAATGTGGGAAGATTTCTTGCCTACTCTGATGACAAAGTACATGCTATCTTTTTAGATGGCATTACGCTAACACTAAATTGGAATTTCAGCTCTTCTGTTGAAAAGAGACAAGTGAGTCTACATCAGACTGAAATCTTTTTGTCATTGGTTATTTGTTAGTGTGAAACAGAACAAAAACAAAGTACACACTGCCTCAATTTATTATTGAAGTATAAAATCTGTCAAGAGGCTTTACTGATGTCATTGGATTTCTTAGCAAAAATCAGAATGCTATGACAAGTAACCATTTTATGAAGATGATTAATAAAGAGAGGGATTAGAATTTTTTACTCTTTGATAACTATTTATATGAGTGGTGGTTAAATCATACCTATGTTCCATGTAAAATACATTTAAATTGTCAAATTTTTAATGATGACTCTTATTTTTTTAAGTTGCTAATGAAGTTGGTTGTTATGTTTTTGTTTTCAGTTTTAGAATAAAACTTACCTTTCCTCCTTGCTTCTGAAGGTAAATCAAGGTCTTAACTTAGGTTGGTGTAAATTAACTTTTCCAGATGGACAAGATCAATTAATTCAGACTGAATACCCTGGAACATATGAAAGGTACTGACAGGCAATTTTACAAATTATTTTTATGTTTCACTTTTATTTGACAGAGACATATAAACATTACTTAAATGTTATATATATTTTTAGTTTTTCCGTGTGGTTAATGTGAATGAAGTCTTTCCAACCGGTTTCAAAGTCAACAGTTACACTGGTATTTAGCATAACGAAATGGGGTCAAGTCAGCTTCAGTCATTTCCAGTTGTATTCAAGTGATTTTTCTTAGTGAAATGAGTTACAGACACATTGACCTGCTGTGGAGGGGTATGAGCAGCTGTATTAGCCAATGAACTAATTTTATAACTGATTCGAAATGAGGTTACAACCACAAATAACTAAAATTGTGTCTATTTCTATGCAATGAATACAATTTAAATGGGGAAGGTCAGCTTTTTATGATTATGTTTTTTGTCTTTTGGTTTATGTAATTTGTTATTAGTTCTAATAGTTGTACTTGTAGAATTAGGTCACATTTTAGTGATTTTACTTGAGAATGTTCACAGAATTTCTTTTAATAAGTAAATGCTTACTTAGGCTTATTATGTGTAAATGCATTTTATGATAAGACAGTGAAACTCATTTTACTTCAAAAAACTGAAAGGAAAATTTATACTTTGAATTTGAAATAAAATCCAACTTTCACCTTTATTTTGATTCTAAAATATTATTTTTATTAATCACAAATGTTAGCAAATCGTTTTATTCTTGCTAAATAACAGGGAAAAACTTGCTTTTTCTATAACCAGTGAAAAAAATTTAGAAAACTACCCAGGAACATTTTTTATCTACCCTTGTACCCCAAATTGTCTTAACGATTTTTCCATTTTTTGTATACTTCTATAATGTATACTGCTTCATTTTCCAAGTGTTTATTTTAATATGTTCACTCTAGATATGTGACAACAGTAATATCATGGTGCAGAAGGCTGACCCAGACTAGTCCCAAAGAGATGCCCACACATCCTTCCTCTTCTATTCTTGAAGAAAATTGGTACTTATATTTCTTTTATTTATTATTTAGTTATTTAGTTATTTTTAGACAGAGTCTCAAGCTGTTGCCCTGGGTAGAGTGCT